TCCTCCCCCATCCTGTAACCCCTGGCAACCACTCATCTATTTTCCATCACACGGTTTTGTCTTTTTGAGAACTCCCTTTCCTCTTGCAATTCTCTTTGCTTATTATTTTTTTTAGCAGGGATCCCTGCATGTTTCTGTGTATATGCAAAGAGCTCTAGTGCCAGCAGACTTTCTCCTCTGTTCTTGCTCTTTTGTTATTTACTGTTGCTAACATTTATTAGCTTCTATTATGTGCCACGCACCTGTGCTAAGCTCTTTATATATATTATCTCATTTTAATCTCACAATAGCTGTATGATATATGTACACCTTTATTAATTCCATTATACAAATCTAGAAACTGAGGATCAGAGAGGTTAAGTGAATTGCCAAAGGCCTCACAGCCAACCAGCAATTCAATCCTAGCACAAATATAGCCCACTTCACCGTAAATCCTTAAAATGCTACAGTAAGCAATAAAAGAGAGGAAACTAACTAGGAAAGAGGTGCACTGAGAGAGATTGGAGGCAGTGCCAATGTGGGGCCATGTGGTTATTAAAAATGTTTGCAAATGTGTGTGAAGCTGGAGAACCATCTGGGTCTCTTGACTTTTCGACCTCAGCCCCTACCTTTATGTCTTTCTCCACCTGCCACATATGGTCCTTGCTGTCCCAAATGGCACTTATCTGCTGTTTTCAGGGGCCTGGTATGATTTTAATTCCTTTGCAAATTTAGCAAAAAAAAAAAAACCCTACTGTCTACATCACAGCTCTGTCACAGGATACAGCGTCTGAGACCCAGGAAAAGGGCTGGCCTGCCTTCTGGTTTCTGCCCAACCTCAATTCCCTGATGTGCTTTCTGACCTCATTTTTTTCCCCATTGGTTGTTTGCAACACCAGCTGAAAAGTTTCTAGGACAATGCCACCTGGTCTGTGTGCTGGAGGTGGCAGGGATGTTCTTGCTGACAAGGGGCAAATAAGACAGAAATGTGTGTGACTGGCATGATACTAGCAATGTAGAAAGTCCAGGCTCGCAGAACCCATGGCAACATTTGTGTTGGGGCATAGAGTGAGCAGGAAAAAAATGAAAGATAGAAAAGTTAATGAAGAATTGATGATGCTGAGGAAGTAGACCACGTTCTTGCCCTGTGCATGGTTTTCCTTTGAATGCGCTGTTTGGAGAAGTGAAATTAGTTAGGGAGTTTTCTCCTAGAATTGATCATTAGCACCTTAAGGGTGCTGGAAGTGAGCTGCGAAGCCAGCACATGCTGGGAAGAATCACACAACTGAATCATGGCCACAGATCATATGGAAGCAAACAAAACAGTGAAAAATCAGGCCACCAAGGACCATCCCTGGATGGCACTTGCTTAATAAGGGGCTGAAAGGTATGTGTAATTTAGAGTAGAAAGTATTGAGTCATTTCAATAACAACCGCAGCTAACATTTACTGAGCACTTAATATGACCCAGTCACTGTGCTTAGAGCTAAGTGACATGAATCATCTCACTTATTCTCACAACAACCCTCTGAGGTAGGTACTACTATTATCTCCAATTTACAGGTGGGAAATTGGAGGACCTGAGGTTTAAGTGAGTCACCCAAAGTACACAACTGTTGAGGGTCAGAGTTGGGATTTGAATTTTGGTATTTCTCAAACCCAAGTCCACAGATTCTTAACTTCTCTGCTTTACCACCTATCCTAAGTCAGAAATATTACTAAAGTGTAACAGAATGAGGAGGAAGAGAGGTCAGCTTTCAGGAACCTACAATCCTTTTGAAGGCTTGCCAATTTCCTTTGCTTTCTCTGGAGTAGGGGAAGGAGTAGGAACCACTGGGATTTGTACCACCATGGGCTCCTCCTGGAGGAGTCTGGTAATCTTGCCTGTTGGTTTGAAATAATTGCATGCTGTAGAAACCTACAGCTGTTTCTCAAGTTTTCTTTTTACACAGTCATCTTGGGAGGGTTTTAGACATGTAGGCACAATAGACTTTTTTTCTCTCTATTGGGCTGGCACCATGAGGTGTGACGATTGGTTCCACCCTAGAACACTGGCTGGCACAGGATGCATCGGGCCTCTTTGAGCCAACAAAAAGAGCTCAATGAGCTTGTTTTTTAGATGAGTCTAGGTGAACAGAACAGACTCTCAGCTTCAAAAGCTCATGGACAGAAAGTTAAATGAACTCTTTGGAGTGCCAGGTTATCAGCAAGTCCTTTGAAAGAGGTGTTTTACAAAATGGCACCCTATGACAACAGGTTATTTATGCTCTCCATGAGGAGTACTTTATACTTAGTGTTATCCTGGCCTGCACTCATCACAGAATCAAGTTTAATAATAATCATACCTATGACACTCTCCCGCGAGGGCTGTTACTCCTACATTTTGTAGCATGCCTCATGCGTGGCAGGGCACAATACACAGTCAATAATCATGTTCACTGTGATAACGATCTTCCAAATGTGTTTCATCTAAGGCTCTCAAAGTGTTTGGTAGACATTAATTAGTAAAGCCTCACAGTGGTTGTCTGTTTTTATAAAAGACATCTTCCCATTTTATAGAATTTTACATTGAGATTCAGCAAACATAAGTGGCTTGCCCAAAGTCACACAGCATGTCTATATGTATCTTAATGATGATGCTTTGCATTCACGTAGCAGATGTTTTCTAAGGCAGTAAGTATATGTTGCAAAGGTAATTTTCACACTATCTTGGAGGAAAATGGGTAGCAAGTGTTATTAGCATTTGACTAGATTGGCTGAACTACAGCAGAGAGGGCAAGGAACTCAGGAGGATTTGACCAAGGATGAAAGTCCATTCCTCTGACTTTGAACAGACCATAGCATCCAGACAAGCCTTAGTTCTTTTAACTGAGGGATGCATGGTTGCTTTCATGCTTGCCGAAAATACAGTTAATATTTTTGGGAACAGACGCATGTTGCAGAACGACAGCCATATTGACATCCAGAAATGGGTTTGTTCATATTCCCATTGAGGAAGGCAAAAGGGATGAGAGGAGTCACTTCAAGAAAGGATAGGTAGGAAGCAAAGGAATTGGGAGGTGGGGGGAAGGGAGTGCCAGCTCTGCTCTCTTACAGAGCATCTTTCTAGCCCAGGTCCTGCCTGAACACAGGAGCTCTTGAGTTTCAGCCTCAGGACAGGACTTGGTCCATCACAGCTTGGAGGGTGGGCACAGACCATAGTCTGGTGTTATAAGTCCCTGCGAAAGAATTCCAGAGAGACCCTGTATCTTAAAGGCTGTCTCTTCTGTACAGCCAGCTCTCTCCTCTATTGCCTGTGCCAGAAGGACTCTGGGAATCCTCTACGGTTAAAAACTCGGTAGCTGTAAATCAATTCATCGCTACCTTTTCTTTGCAACACAGCCACATTGAGAAAGATGAAAACCACAGCAAAAATATTTCAAGTTGATAAGGGAACTGCCTCCTCCCAGCGTGACACCACTTCTTGAGTGAGTGATGATACTCTGCTAAAAGGCAGTCAGACTTCTGCAAGGTGGGGAGGGGGAGAGGTTGCTGGGTCTTAGGAATTCAAGGAGGATTTGCTGACCCAGAGATAGAGCCCTTTTCTCTACCAACAAGGCATGTTGGAGAACAATTTGCCTCCTTACCCTCGACTCCGCCATTTCCAGACCTGTGGATTCTGACTGATGACTAGACCAGGGCTAGTGGAGGGACTTAAAAAGAGTTCCAAGCCCTTTTCTGGAATGCATTCGCACATAAGCACAATGGCAATAAAGAGTCTACGGCGAAGAAATCAAGAGTCTATAGTGAAAAAATGTCCCACTTCTTCGCAACCTCATTTTTGAATGTTTACACATGGGTGGTTTCAAGGTGCAGTGAACCCAGGAAGGGTAGCTGTTGGAAGAAAAATTTTGGAAAACTGTTCCAAATGTGTATCTCAAGCCACTCCTCACTCCTGAGTGAGGAAGGAGTCCTGCAAGACTCTCCCACATGCTGATCCTCTTCACAGCAGGGAGACATGGGACCTTGCTGCCCGAGCAAGCCTTAGACTCTAATGCTTGCTCTAGGTAAGACTTCAAGGAATGCAGTTTTGATTTTCTAAGTATGCCAATGGCCCAAGCCACAGCTTTCCATGTCCACTTTGTCACACTGACTCCAGGGGTGACAGTGCAAATAATTCTGCTGGACTCACAAGGAGCATGTCCTTCTCTCCAGATGTGCCCCTACACATTAGTCCACAACAAGGCTCATAGCCAGGTCAGATGAAGTCCTCAGGGTGTGCTGTCAGCTCTGGACAGAGGCATTCCTATTATCCAAACATAAAAGCATTACTGGGTGATCTCCTGTGAGGCTCAACTGGGTCCATTTGGTTTTTTAATTGCAGCCTCTGCTGTGTATCTTCTGTGTATTTCATTCATTTTGCAAAACGAGACACATGTGCAGAGCTCCTATACACAGCTGATGTACTTCACAGCCCAGCCTTTGCTATCAATCAGTCCACCCACATAGACGCTTCCCTCCTGCACTATCTCCTGCATCAAGTATCTCGATAGCTTGAAACAGATTATGAATGAGTATTGCCATAACAGCACTTTATGACTAGGGGTGGGATGATGGATTTGGGTAAAATTAAAAAAAACAACCTGACATTTAGAAATTTCTGAGATCTCAAAAGCAACAAGCAGTTGGATTTATTTTCTTTTTTTCCCCACCCTCCATGCATTTGCCAGACACTGGTTTGGCCTCAGAAAAGCAGAATTGAAAGACCAAAATTATAATCTAAAAGGCTTTCCTTGTTCTACTACTTTCTGGACAAAAGGGAAAGAAGAACCTAGGAAGCTTTGATAGTTCTAAAGAGAATGATTAGATAAGCTCAGGCTTCTGTTGTATTTGAGTAAAATGATCACTGCCCACAGAAACATCACTTAGGAATCACCAGCGGTACTCTGAAATGTAACTAAAAGAAGATAAGTTCTAGCTCCTTGTATGCACAAATCCAACCCCAAAGTGGACATGACAGTAACAAATAAGATCTCTCTTACCCCATCCATGTGGATTCTGATATTAGGCACTAGCCGGAAAGGACTGGCCTGCAGACGTCTGGGGTTGGTCCTGCTTTTCCTGCTATCCTGCAAGGTCATCGTGCCGGGCCTGCGGAAGGAGCCCCCTCTTCCGGAGCTCTGCCCTGAGCGCACGCCATCCAGAAGGCGCACGAGCAGCAGGTTGGCCGGTAGCGCCTCGATGCTGCAAAACACTGGCGTCCTGCATTCGGGGCACCGCAGCTCCTTGTGGGCCTTGAAAACCCTCTGTAGACATGGTTTGCAGAAGGTGTGCTGGCAAGGGAGGACTTTGGCCGTGACATCGAGCTTCTCAAAGCACACAGGGCACTCCAGAAGATCAAGTAACGTCAAATCATCCATTTTATTTCAAAACTCCAGTCCCCACCTGGAGGAGCAGAGTCCACATGGCAGGGTCCTTTGAGCCACCCGGGGAAGAGCTGGTCTCTTGAAAACGTCAGAATTCTTGCCTGCTTGAAGGAGAGAGAGGAGAGGAAAAAAATGTGACTGCTCTGAGAGGTATATCCCACCTACATGGAGGCAGTGTCTCATGAGGCAGTTCGCAAGCACTTTGTTCTGGCACCCAAGTTTCAAATGACTCATTCTGATTCAATGCTAGCAGGTATAAGACTCAACTCATGCTTGCTCTGAGGATCAGAGGGAACATTCAGCACAGGACTGACTGCTCATTGCCTGTAGGGGACAGGAGAGCAGGGACATAAACCGGCCTGCTGAAGTGGCCACCCAACCCCTCTCGCCCAGCCAGGGCGGGAAGAGGTCTTTTACACCTGCCTGGTGAAATCTTCTGGACAGTTGCAATTCTTAACAACAAAGCCCCCTCCAAACACAATTTCTGAATAGCTATCTCCTCCTTCTCCATCCCCTAGATCTCAGTGTATCTATCATCTGCATCACATGAGGATTAGTTTAGGTGGGTAAGTACATCTGAATCTCATGCAGATGTAGAATTATTTCCTTCATAATACATCTTCCCACATTATTCTAGCAATGTACAAGAAAATTTTCCATTATAAACCCATTTCCAAAAATGGTTTTGCCTTAACTACAGGCTAGGGTACTTGGAAGCTTTGTTTCTTTTCTTTTGTCAGCTTTTTTTCCCCTCCTCATTCTGATTACCTAAGGCTCAGAAACAAGATTCCTCCCACAAGGTAAAGTCGTGCAGCCTGTTTAGTTACTTTGACATTATTCTCAGTTTCAAATGAAGCAGATAGGAATTCTGGATTGTGGTCACAACCTGTAAGAACCATACTAGGGCAGCATACACAGGTATGGGTCGGCGTGTGTGTGTGTGTGTGTGTGTGTGTGTGCGCTCGCGCGTGCGGTCTGAAAACAGTGCTTGTTCCAGAAACAAGTTTCCTTTTGGATGTATGAAAGGAAGCCTCCAGTTTAGAAGTCTGGGGAAAAGTGAGCTGCCCCTTACAAGTGCCAGGGCTTCGGTGAACACCGAACCCAGAGGTTTGGCAAGAAGGGCAGTGGCCCCATTAGCGACTAGTAAGCAGGAAAGACACGACGCCAGGATGAGCGATGGCGCCTCGCTGCCTAAGACTCCTCTCCAAAGATGTCAGCGCGGCGGCGGGCTGGGGCGGCGTGTGGGGGCCACTAACCTTGTGCGCGTAACCTCTGCTGAATTCAGCTCAGCCCCCTCCTCCGCGCAGCAGGGGTGCGCGGCTCCCTCCAACTGGCTTCCTTTCCCCCAGCGCCGCCGCTGCAGCCACCGCTCAAAAACTTTAACCACTCAGTCTTACTCATTTCAAGGGATCGCCTTACCCAGCCCTGTTAACGCTTTCACCGCCAGGCTGCTGCCTACCAACGACGCTTTTGTTGTGGTTAACTTGATGTCCTTTCCTTTAGTTAACTGAATTGTTTCTGGAAAAGATTATAAGAGGCAAAACCTAAGCCAGTCCCCAAGGCCAAGTATTTACAAAGTTCCTATTTTCACCTTTCCCATTTTCTCTAGTATCCAAGGAATCGGAACCTGCTCCATTCCAAACATACCAAAGTGATTGTGTTTATTTTAAAACTTCATAAGGATTTCCTGGGAAGGTCAAAAGTAAAAATGGTCAAGCTATGAAAATAAGGATAAGCTGGACACACAGAAAATACTGCTTTTTAAAAATCATAGTTAATCTCTGAATTTAGAGACTGAATTTAGAGGGACTTCAGTGATCTTTTTGCTTAATCTGTTTAAATTAAGAAACTAGTGTCATGTATATACATACATATGCAAAAAATCAAAGCACAGAGAAGCTTTTTCAAAAAAATGAAAAGCAGTGGTCTCCAAGTTGTCCTCCTGTCTGTTACCAACTAGTCTTTTCATATCCTCAGATTATGCTCATGTTTCTATTTTTTGATTTATCAATAATACATTTCATTTAAAATTACAAAGGTATCCAACTGTGAGTAATAACGATCTTACCTAATACCAGGGTAGCCCTTATCTGTGTCAAGCACTGTTCTAAATACCTATGTTAGCCCTTTAACTCTTTAAAGGATACACTAAATTCTTCTTTACTTTTATTTTGCAGATGAGGTAACTTGAGACACAGAGAGGGTAAATAACTCATCCCAGGACTCACAGTTAGTGGAAGGCAAGTGGTCTGTGCTCTTAACAATGTCATGGAGTGATACAACTTTAAGAGGCTGGCAGGGTGGGGCAATGGCTCATGCCTGTAATGCCTGTAATCTCAGCACTTCGGGAGGCCAAGTGGGTGGATCATGAGGTCAGGAGATTGAGACCATCTTGGCCAATCCAGACAGTGAAACCCTGTCTCTACTAAAAATACAAAAACTATCCGGGCATGATGGTGCATGCCTGTAGTCTCAGCTACACAGGAGGCTGAGGCAGGAGAATCACTTAAACCCAGGAAGTGGAGGCCGCAGTGAGCTGAGATCGCACCACTGCACTCCAGCCTGGGCGAAAGACTGAGACTCTGACTCCAAAAATAACAAGAGGTGAAGAGGTGGTTCAAGGGAGCTAAGTCTTCTCTAAGAGAGCAAGAAGTCAAAAGATAATGGCCAAAACTGGCTACTCTCTTGCAGATAAGGCAACTGCAACCAAAATGATCATGGGATTCTTTGAAGTTGTCCAGTGAGTTAGGGGCAGAATTGGGACTAAAAACTAGGTGCTCAAGGCCAGCCGTAGTGACTCACGCCTGTAATCCCAGCACTTTGGAAGGCTGAGATGGGTGGATTGCTTGAGGTTAGTAGTTTGAGACCAGCCTGGCTAACATGGTAAAGCCTGATCGCTACTAAAAATACAAAAATTGGCTGGGCGTGGTGGCTGGGAGTACTTGGGAGGCCGAGGCACAAGAATTGCTTGAACCTGGGAGCTGGAGGCTGCAGTGAGTTGAGACCACGCCATTGCACTCCAGCCTGGGTGACAGAGTGAGACTCTATCTCAAAAAAAGAGAAAGAAACTAGGTGTTCTTTTAAAAATTATTGTTATTACTATATCTTCTCTTTAGACTGAGGATGACCGTTATTTTGCAGATTGAGTTCAGATACAGCTCAATGGGAAAATCTTAAGAGGAGACCAGGAGGTCTGAAAACATTGTTTACATGTTTTTCCACCTTTTTTCATGTTAGTTCCAAAAAATCAAACATGTGCTTGGGCCAGAACTTTAGGATGGGGGAGATGGTTATCTATTTTCTGAGCACTGAGGCCTAATTTTGATGTAGGTCAATTTCATAGACCAGTTTCAACTACTACTTTTTTAACCTTACTTTTGAGCTCGATAACAACCCATCCCATTCTGCTTGCCTGTCTCCTTCTATTAATTCCTAATCTTGAGTCTGTGCCACTAAGGATTCTCCTTATGGTTTACTATCCTCTTACTCTGTTTCCCACTTAGCAAAGCTGAGTCAATTTCCTTTGTACCCTGCAGTGGTCTCACTCCTTAAAAAGGGCCACTCCTATGCTGGAACTCCTGTTGCAGAGATTGGCAATAATATTTTCTCTTATTCCTTTTCTTGTTTTTAAACATATCCTATTGCCTTTACATACTCATATTTGCACATGCATGCATACACTTGCATAGGGATGCACACACACATAATTTTTTTTTTTTTGGAGACAGAGTCTCACTTTGGCTCCAGGTGCCAGGCTGGAGTGCAGTGGCACAATCTCAGCTCACTGCAACCTCTGCCTCCCGGGTTCAAGCAATTCTCCTGCCTCAGCCTCCAGAGTAGCTGGGACTACAGTCACATGCCACCACACCCAGCTAATTTGTGTATTTTTAGTAGAGACGGGGTTTCATCATGTTGGTCAGGATGGACACACACATAATCTTAATCATAGTAACACGTATGGAGCACTTGCTGTATGCCACTGACCAGCATTAAGACTTTAAACATATTATCTCATTGAATTCTCCCAACCACCCCATAAGATACTGTAACTTTACAGATTACAAACCTTGTGATCTGAACTCAGTTGGTCTAATCCTGGTGCCTGTGTTTCTTTTCATTTTATAAAGTCATATACATGTCATAAATATACCCATATATCTTTACTATGCAAATCCACTCATGTTTATGCATATGCCCATATTGTACACACCAGCTGATCCCAGGGCCAACCCAAGACAAAATATTGATGTCAGAAAAGGAGACTCAACTCCTCTGGGTTGTAGTCTACCCATCTCATGGCCCCTACACACCCTTGTGTGGTCAGTGGTCTTAAAAATTTGGAATCCTCCCATCCCTGAGAAAATGCAGTCAAATCCGCTCAGTCCCAGGAAGGTGGACTAGATCCAGTGGATTACTTTTTTCTAGCAAAGCTGGCGATTGAAAATCTAGCCACATAGAATCATGACGGTAGAATTTTAGATTCTAATGGAGGACAGAGAAAATGTACACTGAAGTGAGGAGTGAGGTCTTTTAGCACCTCTCAAACGACACCCTGTAGGTGGTCCCCAACGCCACCCACAAGAGGTTAGTCTTGAAGCTAAAATTTCTTTTGAAACTTTTAAAGAAGGGTGAGAGTTTTAAATGGGGATTTCATTCTGGCTTACCCAAATATTACCTTGGCATCAAATCAGATGAACATGTAGTCTTTAAAAACAAACAAAACTGTGAGCTATGCACACCTCTTCAGACTCCAGGCCACCTCCCTTCCCCCGCCGTTCCCACCCCATCAACACTCCTGTTTATATCTGTACAGTTATGGGGTGATTATTGGCTGCATTCTTTTTTAAAATCTGTGTGATATGCCTGAGCTTCTGCTGTGCAAATTTATAAGTACATTTAGATTTATGTATGTAAAACACACAAATAAGCAAATCTGATCATATTGTTTCCCTAGTTAAAACTCTTCAGTAGGTTTCTGTGACCTTAGGATAAAATCGTATTTTTCTTCTGACTGTCAGGCCTTGTGTGATCTGGCTCAAGCCCACCTCTCCTGCTTCAACTTATACCCCCATCACCCCCTCACTCAGCACACTCTAGACCCATTGGCTTTCTCTTCACTCTTAGGATAGTGTTTTCACCATCAAGTATTTGTTCATGCGTTTCTTTCTGTCTTCAATGCACTCTCTTCCCCTTCCTCTCTTCCTAGTTACTCTCTCCCCCACCTTTGCTTTTT